TTGCCAGAAAGCTGGGTGTCCCTTCATAGGTGTGATACCCAGTGCCCTGTGGGCACAGGGAGCCCATGACCAGCTCCCAAGGTCTGGTGGGCACAGAATGGGACACAGGAGGCTCATGGAGCTGTTTCCCCTCTCACCACTCAGGCAGAACAAACTGACTCCACACAGATTTCAGCTCAGGCTCTGCAAGACTGCTGTGAACTCGTTGAAATTAACCCCTCTGCAGCCACCTAGCATAGAAATGCAACATATCCACGTACAGTGAAGGGCCTTTCCTCATGGCAGAAACACTGCAGAGCAGGAGGATATTCAGCCTGAACAGACATGGTGTCTTAGGTATAGTAGGGAAGCATGGCCGAGACAATATTATGTATAATCTTACATGGCAAACTTGGAAAAAGTAGGCAAGTAAACTGGAATGCAACCTGCCTGTGATGCTGGAGCTGATATGAGAGGTGTTCAAATAGGATAACTCCAGTTCTGGGAATGACACTGCTGGTCAGAGGATCCAGACACAGCTGTTTCCCACCTGATCACATGCAACTCAAATGCCATTGAATGAAGGACTGTGGGCTTACTGGGATGTAATTCTAGCATCCTTATCTCCTGTTTGGGTGTTGTAAATTAGTGCCTGGAGGAGCTAACATCTCCACTGACTCTGCTGGAGGGGGCAGACTACAACACCTACCTGAAAAGCATGCTGGTGGGTTTATTCCAAACACTGAATCAGTTTAAGATCAGTCTCCTCTCTAAGCATGCAAAGGAACTAACTTTGCATAGTAAGTTAGACCAGGAGCAGCCTGGTCTAGTGGAAGGTGTCCCTGCCCATGGCCAGGGGGTTGGAATTGTATGATCTTTAAGGTCCCTTCCAAACCAAACCACTCTGTAATTCTGTGATAATGAACTTCCCAAAACTGTGTCTTTTTCTTTTACCTTTCAGGCTCAGAGCACTGAAGGTAGGTTTGTTGGAAAGGCAGCAGTAACTTGTGGTAACATAGACTAGAACCAGATCCAGCTATCTTCCTTTACATTTCCAGGTGCTGCTATTAGGCACTTCTTGATGTCTGCCCCTCAACTTTGCTCCTGCAGAGATCAAACTTGCTACCTCTTTTTGAGGTGAATAATGGCATGTTCCCAAGCAGCTCAGTGGCTCTGAATAGCTTGACTCACAGAGGATGGTACTGCTCGTGAGGAGCTGGCAGCCCTGGCTCTGAATTGGTATTGGGCATTTGTGTTTCCTCGATCACATTACACAGGGACAGTGGTGTTCAAGTTAGACAGGAGACATGTCTAGGAATGCCTACTCTGAGAAATTAGACCAGTTGAGGAGGACTCAGAGGTGGCAGATGAGAGGACATGAGGCTGCCAGAGGTATGCTTGGATTTAAATGAGACCCTGTGGAGATTTGCATTAAAAAGGATTTTGTTAATTGGACAAGCAAATCAAATACAAGCAGACAAACCCTCTGCTGTCAGCAGATAAGGTTCATAAAGTTCAGTGGGTTCATAAGGGGGAAGGGAAGAGAAAGGAAAGGGAAAGGGATAGAGATGGGAAAGGGAAAGGGAAAGGGAAAGGGAAAGGGAAAGGGAAAGGGAAAGGGAAAGGGAAAGGGAAAGACCCCTGAAGTGGTGAGTCACTGGATGGAATTCGTCAGTCAATCAGTGACACGGTGAACAGTACAAAACTGATATTCTTGAGCCTAAGCCATTTGAGCATTCTGCCTGCCCAGGGAGAATTCCTCAGTAGTTGTGATACCAGGGTACACCATGGCTTGATATTTCTGACATATTCAGAGCTTCTGTCCAAGCATAAGAGGCTCTACTCCAGGAGAGTAAAGGGAGCAGGAGTGCAGCTCTCAGATAGGTGCTTGTCCTGAAGACAATCACTCAGGGGCCAAAACTGGGGGTGCTTTGCCTTTTGTGTAAAATATATTACATAAAATATGTACTTTAAAACAACAACTATGAGTGCCCTACATTCTATTGTCTTGAGTGACCTCTGATCTGAAGCATGGTCTAAAGCCAGGCAAAGGCTGAAGTGTGTGTGGCACACTGAGATGGGAATGAGAGCTGGCAAGTGCCATTGTTCTCCACTTTGCCTCACAGTGAACAGCATTTAATTCTGGGTTTGGTTGTCAGAAGAGATTAGATATCTAAATTCTGGAGTTTTTGAGTGGTCTGTCTGATCTCTTAGAAGCAGAGAACATGTTCTGCAGCAGAAACTGTCGGGTGCATGATTAAACCATTTGTGTATTACCACAGCGGCATAGTGCATGTTTGCAGGAAGTCAGCTTTTGAAAAAAAACCCACTTGGTACAAAAATAATTAAATTAACAAGAGTCCTAGGAATAAAGGATTCATTTTCCCAGCAGACTGACAGCAGGGATGAAGGCTGGGTTATCAGCTCTGTTTAAGAGAGGTCTTTCTGTCAGAGCAGCAGCACTAAGAGCTGTTCTGACAGAGGCTCTTTCCAGGCAAACAGCACCCAAACATAAATGTTCCTCGAAGATTAATGAAGACTATGATGTGAATGATGGAAGGAAACCAAACAGAAAAATAGTATTGCAAAAGGGGGAGAAAAGAACGAGCTGTTATTTAAAATGCTTACCAGCAGAGGACACATCTGTTGGGTTTTGGCAGAACAAAAGAACATTGCAAAGAAAGACAGAGAAGTGCTGCTTTGCAAAATATTCTACAGTCAGCTCTGAAATCATATATGTACATAACTTCCAGAGGCTTGAGCAGAAGAATATGAAAATGTCTGCTGCATTTTTTCTCCCACAGAAAAGGGGAATATATTTTTCCTTATAAAAGTAAGGGATGATGAAAGAAATTTCTCAGGAGGTAGGCTGCCCTGGTGCACTCCCACAGAGGATCTCCATATGGGGAGACCCTGTGCCACCTCTCCATGACAAGTAACTAAAATCATTGCTTATAGGGGCTTTAAAGCATATGTCTTGCTCCTGCCATTCAAAAATGCCACAGGACTGGGGCTGGGGCTCCCTCCAGCCTGCAGGCAGGTATTTCCTACCTTGGGCCAACACCAGTTCTCCCACTCTGACCCCCAGCTCCATGCACGGGTATCTGGGACTGACAGTGGCAATGACATCTGGTGCACATATCAAGCAAGACAAAATAAATGCAGGAAATCATCCTGTTTGGATGTGAGGGATGGGTGGGAGGGACAGAGAAGTCTGCACAAGTCCTGTTCTGGTCAAAAGGGTGAGGCAGAACATGGCCCCTGCTCTTCCCCAGCCCAGAAATAGATGGAGAAGACAGCAGCTAGGAACGCTGGCACTCATGCTCTATTTGCTCTCTTTGCACTTGTGAGGCTTTGGAGGGAAAAATTGCAAGGAGGAATCATCAAGAAGGATATGCTGAGGGAAGGAGCTCTGGGGAACATGGCTGCTGCTCACACTCAACATCCACTCCTGGGGAATGGGTCATACTCTCCAGCTTGGTATCCTCTTTGCCTCCAGCCTTGCTTTAAATAAGGTAACCAAAGGAAAACACGATTGTGGTGCTAATGTAGAAACTCACCTCCCATGCAACAACAGTTTTGCTTGAATCTGATTTTCTTCCTTCCTTACCTTTGCCTACACATGGCTGTCCTGTGGGCTGTAGAGGGACAGTACAGTGGCACCCAGCCTCAGCTGGCTGCTCTGTTCTGTGGTAGTGAAGGTGATTTATAACATAAGCAAAGAAGGGAGGGTTTGTCCAGAAGGAGGAAGCTGGTGTGAGCAGACCTTGGTAAGCAACGTCACAGAGACTTATTTCTGCAAACAGTAAATTATATGCCAACACAGCTCTGTGTTTCACGTAAATTTTATTGTGTTTTGGAGGAAATTGCATACAATCAATCAGGTTACTCCAACAGCAGGCAGTATGTTTCATGTGTGTGGTCTGATCTTTTTCTTTTCAGCTACTCAGCATAATTATTAGCAGGATTTTATGCTCTAAAGGGTAACTAAAACTATTAGCATCCAAGGGGACATCTCTTCCTATTGAGGTTAATGACATTTTTTGGAAAATTCCTAACTACCCTGAAATCAGGAAGAGGCATTCTGTCTTTTTGTAAAAATTCAATAATACCTCTGCATCATTTCCTAATAAGAGTATCTGAAAATGTTCTCTGTAGACAAAATGTACTGCCAGTGTCAGAGAACATTTTCTTCAACACAGAGCTTTTTATTTGTTGTAATTTTTGTCATATATCACCATTTCAAATCTTTTTATGAACAACAACTGGGTGGTTTTGAGTGGAAAATTTTTTATTTGGAAAAAAAGTTCTGGATTTGCAAGAGAAAATAAATTCTAATGGAGCTGGAATTGCTATAACAAAGTACATTTAAAAGAAACAACCTCTGATGGCTGAAGATTAATCATCTGACAGTGAGTAAAGCCATGCTTAAGGAAGGAACACAGACATTGTGAGTGCCAGCTTTCATCTCCATGTACCTGGCCTCACCTCTGTGCCATGGCACAGCCCTGTACCAGCACAAGTTCCCTCCTGTTACATTGTGTTTCTGGGAGTTAAGATGGCTTTTAGATGAAAAATTTGTTTAGATGAGTAATTTTTTGAGACCCCCTCTCTGGTTTAAAGTGTGGGAACACACAGGGCACTGCCAGCAGAGTGAGGGCACACGTGCTACAGCATGGAGGCAGGAAGAAGCAGTTCCAGAAATGCTATAAATTGGAGTGGCTGCTTAAGACTGTCTCCAAAGTAATGGGCTTACTTTCTACTTTTCTGCAACAACATTTAGCCAATGTTTTTTTTCTGATGTCAATGCAGTTACATATTTATTTTCCCAATCATAGAACCGCACTGAAAAGCAAATATGGTTTTTTGGTTGTCCTTTTGCCCACAACTATCTGCAATTTCCCCTCTAACTAAAACAAGAACTTCCATTCCAAATGACCTTCTTTTCTGTTAAAATCCTGGGTTATCGTCTATACAATTAATTATAGTCAGACCTAGCATTAAAACTAGGACTTGAAAAAAAAGTCCTACAAAAACAAAACAAGGAGTCCATATTTCAATCATTAAAAAACAAAAGGAATCAAGGCTTTCCTTGATTTTGGATAGTCCGTAAATGTCTTGAGATAGTACCTGAAAGAAAATAAGCAAGACAGTGAACCTGCATACGTAGAGGGAAACTGCACAGTTTCAATACAGATCAGCTGAGGAACCTTAAAACTGCTCCAAGCTGCCTTTCTTTGTTATCTCTGTGTGTTAATCTGCAAAAGAGCAGTTCAGAAACTATTTACACCTGGTTATTTAATTAACTGATAACACTGCTAAGGTTCTAACAGGCCTAAAGTAGAAATTTTAGGAATTCAGAGCATATCTACTCCAAAGGGCTGCAGAGGTTGCAAGAGCAATCTTAGGAAAGGCTCACGCTTATGAGGCTCAGTAAAAAGAGGCTGTAGCAGGGTGGAAGCAGTGATGCAGCTCATGGATTAAATCTCTGTCAGGCCAAGCCCACTTGACAGGGGCTCCAGCTGACTGCCTGCCTTACACAAACACCTCCTGTACGTGGCATTACATTTCAGGTTTATCCCAAATCCTGGCTCTGGTCCTCCCTGGCATTTTGCAAACTGCATTCCAAGAGGAAATAGCAGCATATGGCAAGGAACAGTTTGATACCTGTGATGGTGATAAGCACGTGGACCAATGCAGCAAAGAGTGAAAAAGGCAAAGGCGAAGGCTGGTAGGGACCAGGTTGCAATAGCAAAACCAAACCATTCCACAATTTCTCCAAAGTAGTTGGCTCCAGAAACGTAGGTGAACAGTCCTCCTGCAGCAACAGACAAAATATTTAATTTTTTAGTCATCTCCTGCACATGGAAGGTTCTTTCACAAAAAGTCAGCGGCAGAATATGTACCCTTTCTTATTGAGCCTACAGCAGTAACCTAAATGAATCCAGTGGAGCCATGCCAAAGGGGGATATTGCTTGAAATTCTTGTATAAATACAGGAGCCAAGGGGGATTCTGACTCAGATGTTCCCAGCAATTTCACAACCATTTATTTTCATTTGGAAAATAACTTAAGAAAGACCATTATTATAAATTATAATAATTATCATTAGTCAATTCTTTTTATGCCCTAAAAATATTTTGCAACTTCACTACCTTTGGGGAATACATCTGGATCTCAGTTTTTCACAACATTTACAAGAGGCAGGTAAATACTGCAGGTGGGAAACTGGGAGAGACATATCACCATCCATAACAAGCCAGCAGAAGGAGTCAATACCAAGTCAAAGAAATTCTTGGATACCCATCCATATTGTTCTACAGAGCTAGACACTTCCTGGAAAGGCAATTCAGCACCTTGCATCCTTGGTGTTATTATTCTCCCCTAAGGTTTACACTTTGAATCAACCTTTTGCACAGTAAGAAGTCCACTACTACTTCTTTCTGGCATGGAGAAGACTATTTCCTTCTCTGCAGCTGCCTTTTGCAAAGTAAAAATACTCTTCCTGTGTCCCACTTCAATCTTCTCAGAATTACCCGCCAATTTCTTAAAATCTCTCCTCACAATTCGTGTTTTCCAGATGCTTTTGCTGCTTCCCTGGGACTGTCTGCAGCCAGCTCACACCAGCCCCTGCAGCTTAGGGGGGCACCTGAACCAAGTACCTGTGCAAGACCAGCTTCTCTGCCATTACTGTCACTGTCCTGTGGATTCAGTCAGAAAACATTATTTATTCTGCTCCTCTTCTTCCTTCAAGGAAGCAGGGAATAAGAATATACCTTGAGGAATCTTGTAAGTGACTTCCCCGGGTTTCCTCAGCTGGCGCAGCAGGAGATCACTGTGAATGTTGATTCCCATTCCCAGCAGAAATAAGAGGAGGCCTAAGAAACCAGTGAGAAATGGATTAGAAAGAGAGCTCTGTCTAGATATCCTCACTCAAGCTCATGTGTGAGGTTTATCTTTGCAGCAGACACATAGGGGTCACGATGTGAGGTGGGTGGATTATTTTTCAAGTCACAAGATGCATTGCTACCAAGAAGGCTACTGAACAGGAGAAGCACAGGTGACTGGTGACACAGAGCACCTTCAGCTGAACTTCCCGTGTGACCATAATCACTATTTATTGAATAGTTAAGGCACACAAAGTACCCCATGCACACCACAGCTGATGATAGCCAGCCACAGCAGCAGAGAAAGCACTGAGATGTAGATAAGTACCAATATCCTCCTTTTACTGCTGAGGAAAGAACAGTACAGAGACACAGACTTATCCAGCACATCACTGGAGCTGGGAAAGAAACCTGCATCTCAGCACCTCTCAGCCCAGTGCCAGTGAGGCTGCCTGGACAGAGCTATGGGCATGGATGGAAAGCAAGTACTTGCTGAAGGATGCTGGCATGATCTGGCCAGAGTGATCCACTGACCAGATTCCATTTAACTGAAAAACCAGAGGCATTTGATTGAGAAAGTCTGCAGGTGACATGCCCTGCATTTCATGACACATTGGACACTGAGAAAACCACCTCTGACAATGACTAGAAAGCAATAAAATAAATAGTGTGTGCACTATAATGTATGTCTAAAAGACTAAATGCTGATAAAACCTCAAAACTTCCAGTAGCAGCAAAAAATTGGTAAAGGTCTGTAGAGGAAGAACATATACTGTTTATTTTTTCTTTAATATTTCAAGTACTGCTAATGCTGATTTTCTTTTTTCTTTTTTTTTATTTCCATATTAAATATATGTTTTATCTATCATTCAATTTAAGTGATTTGGTGTTTTCTGTGTTGGGTATTGGACGTCTTACTAAACAATGTCCAGAATTTTTAATATGTGAGGCTGTCTGAAAAGACTGAACTTGCATCCATGGTTTGAAGCAGAGTACAGAGAGTACCTTGGTTAGTTTGTGCTTGTATCCAAAACATTTCCTCAGACCTCTATGTTTCTCAAAATCCTCATTTCTATGTTTACATTTAAAAAACACTCTCTGCACAGTACCAAATCTGTAATGCCATCTAACTGCTCTTGTTCAGTTATTCTCTGAGGGATTTTGCAGGGTGAAATCCAGCTAGGCTATTAAGTCACAGAATATAAAGGAATTGTATTAACATACAACCAGACTGTGCCTGATCTCTAATCTTCCCCTGTGCCTTACACGAGAAAAAAGAGCTCTTTGTCCCTAAAGCCTCATTCATGCTGGGGTTTTGCCCTCCTTTTCTCTCTCATTTAGAATAGCTGCATCGAGTGCAAAGCTCCCTGGCAGGGAGGAGAAAGCCACAGCTTGTGCTCACACACAGCCACTGCTGGGTGCACACTTCTGGCTGAGCAAGGGCACACCCCCGTGCACCTAGGGCCTGAGGCTGCCTCTCCATGGCCCATAGCAGCAGGAGGCTCTGGAGTGGTGTCAAGAAAACAAGGCTCGAGATTTGAGACTAACACATAGCATCATATACCTTCAAAGGTGGCTGCCTAGCAGAAAAAAAAAAAAAGTTACTGCACATTTGCTCGTTTTATCTGGGCCAGCAGGCAGGTCTTATGCTGATTTCCATCACAACAGGTTTGATTCACATGTTCAATGAAGATTAGGACATAATTCAAAATGCTTACAAATTGCTAGGAGATTAGATCTTGGGAATCCTGCAGCTGTAATTACCTGATGTAAATCTGATGTCGGTGCACCAATCGTTTGGATATTCAGCGCAGTAAATCAGGTAGTACCCCTGGAGGAAGCCATTATAGATACAGAATAACATGCCAAAGAAAAGCAATTGCAGTGGGAAAGGTCTGCCTCTAGTGAAGAAAGGGTAAATAAATGTCCTAAGGTAGATAAGAAAAAAAAGTCAGCACATTGCTCATGATAACATTGTATTTGCAATTTCTCTGCTGTGGGGAAAAACACTTGAACAAAGCACAAAGTAGAAAATAGGTCAATAAAGACAAAAAAATTGAAAATAATTGCAACAATGTAAGATCTGCAATCAATGGGACCATGAAATCCTACAGATGTGCATCTTTTCCTGGTCCTTCAGGACTGCACATAAGGTGGGAAGTTAGAAAGCTCACGCAGATTTACTGATGCTTTGAGAATGTCTCTGTGCCTTTCTCTGTGCTTGTTGGTGAAAATGAGGAATTCGTGCCCACAAACAGCATTTTCATTTGAAGACTTGATTTAATGCTCCAGTGGGCCAAGGGAAGATTGATTGCCGTGGAGGGACATAGGGACAGTGATGTTCAGACATCACTGATGTTTGTGAATGGCAGTACCCATTGAATACTGATTCTCCAAACGAGGATCACTATGCCAGGGAGCATCCTGGAGGAGCTTTGTTATGGAGAAGGCATTCCTGATCCCACTACAAGACTGATCCCTGAGGGCTTTAACCCATGGTGGCAGATGGGGCTGAAGGCAGCGTTGAGACCCCTCTGGCTCTCTCACTCCCTGCAGTGTACAGCCTAAGAAGTAATCTCCTTTCCCAGCCTCTCCCACCTCGCTCAGAAAGAGATTCCCAAGCATCTCTAACACACAGCAGCTCTGCCCTGCTCTGCTCAGACACTTCGAGGCACATAGGCACATAGAGGCAGAGCACTGCTTTTGCCTGCCTGGGAAGCTGCTTTGACTCCAGTCCCTGCCTCCCCTCCATGCTTTCAAGCTTTTGTTTAAAATAAGAAGAGCTACAGCTCTAAGTTTAATATGCTGAACACCAAGATTTCCATGCAGCTACAGCACCTAGGGCTTTCTTAGACAGCAGCTATACTAACAGTAGCATTAACATCTGTGTGAGCAAATAATCGGTGCTTGTACAGTTTTAATTTATAGATATGTTTGCTTCAGGTGGGAGTATTCCCCTTGACACTTTGGACAATCCATATCGTCCTTGTGAGAGTGAAACAAAGAAGTCAAATTCATTTTTAGTAAATATTTTCTTACCTGGCCAGTTAAGTTCTGTAAATGGTAAAATCTATACTCTTAATTTCTTTCTTTTGCCCTCTTGGGCTTTGGATGGTGCTCATCATACCAGTATGTAAGCATTGCTGATAAGTAATTCACATCCCGTGTTGCCAGTGTCAATTTAAGCAAGCTGAGGCATAAAATGTCATAATATTATAAATCTCGATTAAGTCATACTATGTCTGGAAGTGAGTAAGCAGAGTACAAGCAGCAACATGTTAATATATTCACTGCTTTCGAAAGCAAGGTAAGACAGATTTCCAGCAATTAAGGCAGCTGTGATGCAGAAGTGCTACATATTTTTAAAGAAAGAGAAATGTAAGAGGAATGGAAAATATTCTTCAGATAGTGGTATCACATTTGTCATATTTGTTACAGAATGGAAAGGAATGCTTTTTGGATTAATGGTACCAATAATCACTGGTTTTGCCCTTTGGGAATGTGATGCTGGAGCTACGAGTAGGAGAGGCCAGCTTTAGCATTCTGATCTGCTGTTGAAGTCATATTGACAAATTGGACCTGAACAGTTATGACAAAAAGTGTGAAACTTGCAGATGCAGGCTTGAAGACAGCAAATTGTATAGAAAAGGGTATGATGTAAACCACACAAAATGAGCTTAGGACGTGAATTTATGCAGCAGATTCAAGTAGGACTGGCACTGCTTTATCCTTTGCCAAAACCAGTCAGGTTTAAGACTCAGTTTTTACAGCTGACACAAACAGAAATTTCTCAAGTCCCAGAAAAACTGATTATTTCCAGCTGCTTCCTGGTGCTGCTGCTGCAGGATAAAGGTTATAGGCCCTTGAAAGGTGACTTTTCCTGCAGTAACAGGAGGCCACAGGACAGAAGGAATCTGCATGCAAAGTAAAAGTACAATGGCAGGGGAGCCAGGAGGCACCAGCTTTGTTTAGTTGTTGAGGTAGTAAAATCCTGGCATTGATGTAATCCTGCCTCATAGCAATTTAGACAATCCCAGTCAGGATTTCATCCAATAATCTTTGCTGTGGAACAAATTCCCCAAGGAAATATCTGTGTGTCTGTAAAACCAGAGGCCAGATTCAATTCTCTGTATCAGATTGTACTACATGGCTAGTTGAGGGTACACAAACTACTCCTGGTGAGATTTGGAAAAGCAGCAGAGATAAAGCAGGGGCATTCAATAGGTCTGAATATTCCATGGAGGAGTCTGAAGCACTGCTGGAACTATTTTGCAGTGTGAAAATCACACTGCAAAACAGTGGCCTTAAGACCACTATTATTTTAGAATAGCAGAACAAATCTGGCCTTTTGGTTTTAGTCCAATGACAAATTTGACCTTTTACTTTCAGTGCAGTATTGATGACTAATTCATTACTCCTTTATTATCTTTACCAGCCAAAGACACTGCATCTGACTAAACCATTGCCAACAGCTTCTTTTTAAATGAATGAATAATGAATTATTCATTTTCTTCCCCATCATTTATTTTCCAAAAGAACAGGTTTTGAAGAGAAAATAATTTCACATTGCATCAAATTTCATCTTAAAGGTATTAGTCCAGCTTCTTGAAAACTCCAGAGATTGTCACCTTAACCAAGGGAAAGAATAATTTGCTTTTCTTTCTCTGGGAGGTGGAAATCTTTTCACAAATGTTACCATAATCCACTAAGAGTAGATAGCTCGTCAGTCAGAGATGTTTATGCTCCTGCTATGTCTTCTCTTCTCCAGGCCCTAGATGCAGTATGTCAGGCAGTAATAGCTCATTTGTCACTCTGGAAGCTCAAGGCGTTTTACACCTGGGGCAACTGGGTCAAGGGTGCTGAGAATGGGGGACACCTGGCTCCCTCCAGGCCTGTGGCCACCAGCCTCCTGCTGTGTGTGCCCATCTGCCACCAGGCCCTCTCTTGGGTCTAACCAGGATGAACAAAGGACTTCAGGAAGCAGAAGGATTGCAAGGTGGGCAGGGCTGATGTGGTGCCCTTCTCCTTGACAGCAGGTGCTGGCCAAAACCCAGCTTGTCCCAGCCCAGCATGCTGGGGCATGGTCTGAATGCCCTGGCCCATCCCTTCTGACCCTGGCCAGCTTCCAGAAGAGAGTTATGGACTTCTCCTGGCCAGGAATGCTCTGAGTCTTTGCAGGGATTTTTTGGTTCTCCTTGGACCGTGGGGGAATCCCTGGTGAGGATGAACCAAGGTGCCAAAGGGTGCCTGAGAACCCCTCCCCACGGTCTGGGCTGGGCACACTCTGGTTCCTTGCTCGTCCCACCCTGACATACAAAAGGTGAGGAGGGCTGGTGGCTCAGGCCAAGCCCTCCCATGAGGGTGATGCCCTCAGAGCCCTCCCAGCTCATGTGCACCCTGAGCTGACACTGAAAAGCACTCTGCACTCAGGGGGGTGTTGCACAGTTGCTGCAGGGGTCGTGCAGTAGGTGAGACACCCTGCTCCATCAGCAGCCCATGTTGCAGTCCCTTTTCTCACTCCCTGAAAACTCCTTGTTGAGGGGCTGCCTGCAGCTCTCACCTCTCTACTGGTTGCCTTCTCAAACGAAGACCTATCTCAGTAGAAGACAGCCCTCTAGACTCTGCTGCACCTCCTTCCTTGTGGGGCTGTTTTAATTTTCTCATTTGTACAAATACTTGTATCTCAGGTGATGAGAAAACCCCTGTGCTTTGTGTTACACTAACTACAGACGAGTCAGATGTGAAGGGATTGGCCTGCTGTCAAACCACAGATTTACTTTTGATCTGTCTTGTGCACCGATTGACAAGATTGGTGTCCAAACCTGGGGAGATTACACAGACCAGTTCAATTTGCACCAACAATTAACACCATAGGTTGTCACTGGAATCACATTACTAGGGAGCTGCTGGCACCCTTGGCATACCTGATCACTCGGACAAAGGCTCAAGTTGTTCACAAACATGATGAACTTCTATTTGGGGTGGCTGTGATGCCTTACACAGAGCCTCTAATTATTCTGGAGAGTTATGGATGTCAAATTAGATGTCCCAAAGACACCTGCTGTTGATTAGTCTGCACATACTTTCTGAGCCCCATTCTGTAGGTTATTTGTAGGTTAAATGCACTCTGAGGTAATTTTAAACTTTTACTGATTTTGAGTTGTGTTACACTAATTCTCATCGAATATTTATAGGAGAAAACTGTCAAGTCCACACTAGGATAATCTGGCACCTAATTTTCCTGTGGCTAATTAAAAACTTTTCAGTTATCCAAGACTGGGTTTAAACAAATGTAGTGGGTAAGTGTTCAGTTCCGAACAGCAGCTAATTTGCTATCAGTATAAAGGGTAAGTAAAACAAAATACTCCAAAATACTTTCAAAAGTGAAATTAAGCATTTTAACCGTCCTTCATCATGATATCTGCAGATGCCCCAGCATCACAATGCAAGTAGAAACTCCTCACCTGTCATATTCCTCACCTATTCATATTCCTCTCCTCAAACATCCTACCCTGAGATGCTTTAACCTTCCCCATTTATTCTGCAACAGTCTGAGAACGTCATCAGCCAGGAATATTCAGATAAAAAGTAGGTTATTTGCAGCTATTTGTACTATGCAGGGTGGACCATTTCCCTTCTGTTAGGGTCTGCACAGTGAGACATGCTGTCACAGACTCAGGAACAAAATCTGGGCTATACCCAGGTGACACACCAGCAATGCCAGCAGGCAGGAATCATGGACTGCCCATTAAGCCTCTGGCAATACCCACTGCAGGTGCAGGACAGCCAGCATCTTCATCTCCTGTATTGCAGCTATATCCCACCTCCTGATGTAAGCCATAAATTCAGGGAGCCATAAATTCAGGAGCTGAGCAGCCAGAGCTGCTTGAGGAGCCCGCCGGTGCAAAGGGTGTGCAGGGGCTGTGAG